GACTTCGCATCCCCCTTTGATGGCGGGATGGGGAGACGGTCCGCCACCCCCGGCACTGCACGTACTGTGCCGGGTTCGTGGGGATTTTGTTGAATTCAATGAATGTCCCCTCCCTTCCCCCCCGTCCCGTCCCTCTATCTGCATGCCTGGTCCTGCGGGCGGAAAGGCCAGAAACGTATACACAGTTTTGACTCCGAGTCCCGGTGGCGATCCGAACCTGCAGGAGGGAGATAAATTGTAACACACCGGAGGTCACTTCCTCGACCGTTTAGATTGCCACCAAGAGTTGGCGGTGGGGTAGCCCGGGGACCCCGGCAAAACCAGCCAAACGATAGCGGATGGGCCGGCACGCCGGTTTTAAGCGGATAGGCCGGTACACCCAAAGTTCGCCACTGCTTAGGAGAACCTTCGCCAGTGCTTAGGAGAACACTTCGGCCTCAGAGGCACCGAAATTCGTGATGCGTGCCCCTTCAATGGAAGGAGGAGGAGGAGGAGGCAGAGGGAGAGCCGGACCCACCGAGAAGGGAGGGGAGGGAGAGGAGGGAAGGACAGGAGGGATGGGGGGGTAGGGCCCTTTCTGGCCGCGAGCCGACAACCATGCAGCAGGTATTTGTGGGGGCCGATCCACCTCACATGCATCACAGCTGAAATGGCCAGTGGCGGGTGCCCTCACTAGCCCAGCTGTCAAACACTGAAACCGGGTAGCCCGACACCCCCGTCAAGTGGTCCCGGAAAGCACGCAAGGCCTCGGAGCGCAAGTTGTCCGGAACCCTGGGGCTCGCCAGTATCCCGGCGAATGCACTTCCCCTAACTGATCGGCGGCTGCCGAGGGCGGCCCCCGCGGGCTCCGCGTCTTCCGCGGCGCCCGCCTCGGGGGCCAGGAACAGCGCGCCGTCCGCGGAGCCCCGCGCGCCGCCGCCGCGGGACGCTCAGGTGAACACCCGTTCGGCTGGCCAGACCGCCCGCGCCGCGGGCGCTCCACCGCCGCGCGGCTCCGGGAGCAGCCACGCTTCCGGGGCGCGCGACTCGCCCGGGGACTCCTGCCTGCGTTTGGGGCTCGCCGAAATCCCGCCGAAGGGGCCCTTAGCTCTTCGGCTGCTGCCGAGGGCGGCCTCGCGGGGCTGCGCGCCTGCGCCCGCCTCAGGGGCCAGGGTCCGCGCACCGTCAGCGCCGCCCCGCGCGCCGCCGCCGTGGGGCGCTCGCGCGGGCACCCGCTTGGCTGGCCCGACCGCCCGCGCCGCGGGCGCTCCGCCGCCGCGTGGCTCCGGCAGCTGCCGCGCCTCTGGAGCTCGCGACCCGCCCAGGAACTCCGACTCGGCAGGCTCCAGGAGCTTGCGAGTCGGCGCGCTCAGGCTTCGGGGCCCCCCGCCGCCTCGGTCGCTGTGCCGGCGGCCGCCCCCCGTTCTGCTGCTGTGCCGAGGTCTCTTGACCCAGCGGCCACGCCTAGCGCCGCGCTCCTTGCAGGGGACTCGTCCGTTAACAGCGCGGATTTCTCCGAACCCAGAGGATCCGCCCACGACAGGGTCTCGGATGCGTTGGCGGCTGCGCCACACCCTCCCGAGTCCTTGGAGCCCACTGCGCGCGTGGCCCAGGGTCCGCCCCAAGACGGTGCGCGGCCCACCTCGGTAGCATTGCGCGCCAGCCGGGTTGCTGGCCCAGCGGCCGCGGTTGCGCTGAGCGCGCGGGCCGACCGGCGCGCTCGGGCGCGGTTCCGAGCTTCGGTCGACGCTGTCGATGCCGCTCTCACCGAGGTTACGCTGGGGAGAGGTGCGGATACTGGGGAGAGCGCGGAAGAGCTTGCGGAGCGAATGCAGACACTCTTAGCCGAGCTCGAGCGGCGCAAGGCTTCACTTCGCATCGCCCGCTCACGCCTTGCCGATTGTCTCAGAGAGGCCGCGTCCGCCGGACTCCCTGAGGCGGCGGCGGACTCTCCTGCGCCTGTGGCAGCGCCGGCTGCCCCCACGTAGGTGGACAGCGCCGCCGCGGCTGAGGCGAGGGTTGGTGCGACCTTGCACAACGAGGCGGAACCCGCGCTGCAAGGCGGCGGTTGTGCTGCCCTTGCTTTGGCTCGGCGGGTTCCCCACCCCGCGCGCCGCCGCCGCCGTGCGGTAGAGGCCGAGCCTCCGGGCGCTCCTGCCGGGCGGATTCCGTTTGGTCAGGGTTCATGTTTCACTTCCGCTGTTGATGAGTGGCGTGCACGGGCGTTTGCTGTATTCGAGTTGTGGCTCGTAGAGTACACGGGCGTTGTCCCTGGCACACTCTACCGCAGCGGGATCTTGTTCGACAGATTCCTGGCCACGTTCGGCGTTTGGCTCCACGACGCGGGGCTCCCGCTCCACATCCTTGTCCACGCCATTCTGGGCGTGCAGGCCAATCGCCCTCACTGGAGGGATTTCCTGATTGGGGCCTGGGATGTTGCCAGACTGTGGAAGCTTGCCGAGCCCTCCGCGCACTTCCTCGCGCCCGCTCGCCGCTTTCCCGGGCTCCGCCCGCCGCTCCCCCGAGCGCTCCTTCGCGCGATGGTTAGCCTGTGCCTACTGTGGGACTGGCCCGGGATGGCAGCTCTGCTGCTGGCTGGTTTCACGATGGCCCCGCGTCCCGGCGAACTTCTCAACGCGAGGCGTTGTGACTTGTCGTTGCCATGCGACCGCCAGGAGCAGGAAGCCGATGCTTTTTTGTCGATCTTAGCTCCTGACACCCGTCGGTCCTACCCGATTCAGCTCGCTCGATGTTCGGATCGAGCGACCGTCAAGATTATGGAGCTAGTGTTTCGGCATCTGGGTCCCGCCGATCCGCTCACGACCACGGCCTATGGTCAGAGCGTCTTCCGAACTCGGTGGAACCATTTACTTACGGGCTTGGGCGTGCCGCTCGCCAGGATGCCAGCGGGGTTTCACCTCCCTTCCGCACCGGAACATACATATAGCACAGGCACCAGTGTCTTGGACTGTTACATCGATTCGGAACATGTGCCCCGCGTCTTCTTGCGTGGCCGCTGGCGCCAGGAGTCCAACGCCGAGCGATATCTGCAAGACATTGCCGCTGCTACTGTCCTTGCCGCCCTCCCTGATACCTCTCGGTCTCAGGTCGAGTACTGTGCTTCTGTTAGCGACTACCTTGTCGCCTCCTTCCTGAATGCTGGCCCTGCCACGTGGCCCATTCAGCTCGCAGCCGCCCGCCAAACTTTTGTCACTTCGCAAGGGCTTTGAGCATGGGTATGGCTGCTACGACCTCCTGATGGTCGTCCAGGGGCCCGTGTTGAACACGGCCACCTGAGTGCGCCGCACGGTGCGTTCGCGGCGGCCCGGCTCCCTTTTCCGACCCGCCGCGCGCGCGCCGCGCGTCCGCCCCGAGACGACTGCTCCTCTGCGCAGCGAGCGGGGATGCAACTCTCTATCCCCACCGCGCCCGCTACGCAGTCGTCTGCAGCTTCTCGGCCCCCACCCTCTACCTCCCTCCTTCTACAAAGGCTGGCCTGTGGCGCTGCTGCGACCTCCTGATGGTCGTCCAGGGGCCCGTGTTGAACACGGCCACCTGAGTGCGCCGCACGGTGCGTTCGCGGCGGCCCGGCTCCCTTTTCCGACCCGCCGCGCGCGCGCCGCGCGTCCGCCCCGAGACGACTGCTCCTCTGCGCAGCGAGCGGGGATGCAACTCTCTATCCCCACCGCGCCCGCTACGCAGTCGTCTGCAGCTTCTCGGCCCCCACCCTCTACCTCCCTCCTTCTACAAAGGCTGGCCTGTGGCGCTGCTGCGACCTCCTGATGGTCGTCCAGGGGCCCGTGTTGAACACGGCCACCTGAGTGCGCCGCACGGTGCGTTCGCGGCGGCCCGGCTCCCTTTTCCGACCCGCCGCGCGCGCGCCGCGCGTCCGCCCCGAGACGACTGCTTCTCTGCGCAGCGAGCGGGGATCATCATCATCATCATCATCATCATCATCATCATCATCATCATCATCACTAGCACGATCTTGAATGCCGCATTGTTTTGAGCTTTGTCGACGAGTTAACGCTCTTCCAGTGGGCGCCTGACGGCCCACCCATGTTCGTGAAGAAGTGGTGGCTTGCTGTGCACCCCAATCACACTTAAAATAGTTTGCTTCGAGCTGCCTTGGTCAATGAGGCGGTTTGGGGGGGTGTTTCAACATGCTAGAACGTCCCAGGTGGTGTACCCTACCGCCCAGTGGATTTCTCACTTCCGCTCGAGACTTCGTGCGATCGCTCGCTTGGATTCTCGGGTTCGGCACTTCATACACGAAATGCTCAGGTAGGTGCGGTGTGCGTCTCAGTCTTGATGCATTCCGCCTCTTGCTTCATAGTCGTGATGCGCTACTTTGCGTCACAGTTGTGATGCGCTCCATGTTTCGCTTCTCTGTAGTCTTCCGTCTCTTGCCCTTCCTCTCCCTCTCTATCTCTCTCGCCGAAAGTCGTTTGGGTGACTTACAGCACGTTCTGAAATAAATCGTCTCAGGAGAAAAAAATCGCACCCAGTGGGGTTGGTGTGTTAGCGCCGTGCCGATTATTTTCCAGTCGCGGCGTGTGGAGGAGACCTCGTGCAGTGGAGCATTTCATCATCATCACCATCATCATCACCATCACCACCACCACCATCATCCTCATCATCTTCATCATCATCATCGTACGCATCATCACCATCATACGCATTATCATCGCCATCATCATCATCATCACCATCATCATCATCCGCTTCACCACTAACATTATCATCATCCAGATCGTCCGCTTCCTCATCATCATCGTCACAATCATCATCAGCACCATCATCATCAGTATCATCATCATCAGCAGCAGCATCATCATCATGATCATCATCACCATCACCATCACCATCATCATAATCCTCATCACATCATCATCACCATCATCATCATCATCATCCATGCGGTCCTCATTGTCCAATCCTCCAGAGCCCCTTCCCCCCGCCCCCTTTGTGCTCCTGCGGCTTCCAGGGAAGGGGTGGGGCGGGGCGCCAGATTCCCGCAGGTGGCGCACGCGCCGCTCGAGGAAAGAGGCGGGACGGAAGGCCCCGGGGATGCCAGCTATCGCCCCTCCCTCGGTACAGTCAAGGCTAGTCAGAAGCACCAGGACGAGGAGGAGCAGGAGGAGGATAATGAGGAGGAACATGAGCAGAAAGAGGAGGATGAGGAGGAGGAGGAGGAGGAGGAGGAGGAGGAGGAGGAGGAGGAGGAGGAGAAGGAGGAGGGGGAGGGAGGTCTTTTCTCTCGTGGGTCTAGTGCTGCCGCTGCTCTGTTCTTCACACTCTGCTTTTCTCGCCCCACCTCCCCATATGCGCATCGACCCTTCCGCGCTCCGTCCGACCGACCACTCGACCGACCGAGGAAGGACGGCGGAATGCGGCCTTTGCGGGCCCGCTGTTGGCTCCTGGGCAGTCCGAGACCGATCCGGGAGCAGAGCAAAGTTGGCCCTGGATGGGCCCGGACGGGGTCGTCCACTCGCTTGGGCGGCCACTGTCGCCACCGCTGGATTCGCCTCGGAATTCTGGTCAGGACGCACCCCAGGAGAGATCCAGGGAGTATCGGTATCGGCCTCCCAGATGGGGTCGGAGCAGATGGGGTCGGAAGATCGTGCCGCATCGCCGGTGCATCGCCGAGGCGGCTCGACGTGGAGCCTGATTTGCTTCACGTCGACGTCGCCGATGCATCGCCGATGTCGGCGTTACATCGCCGATGCATCGCCGGTGCATTGCCGATACATTGCCGATGTATCGGCGATGCGGCGCGATCCTCCGACCCCATGTACTCCGATCCCATCTAGGATCTAGGAGGCCTCTAATTGGTACCTTGTGGCTTCCCCAGTCTCACCACAGTGACCTTTGGTGCGGGCCCGCAGGGGTGGCTCCAGCAGTTGACCGCGTGTTTTGAGTCTGGCGCCCTCCTCCCCTTCCGCGGTCCCCGAAGGCCGCGCGCCAAAGGTCACTCCTGCCCAGGGTCACTCCTGCGTGCACGCGGAGGGGTCTGCCTGAGGAGGAGCAGGAGCAGGAGCAGGAGCAGGAGCAGCAACAGCAGCTAGGGTTGGTCCCCAAGCATTTTGTCTGCATGAGGGGTGTATAAGACGTGTTATCCGCTGCCTCCGCTCGCCGGTGCTGCCTCCGCTTGCCTCCCACACGGGGCGGATGCAGAACCGGGCCGTCTCATGGATGCAAACGTTGGGTGTTAGAGCTGTTACCACATTCGGGCAGGACGCCTGCCTGGGCGATCTTTGGACATGCGGGTTGAAAAGGAGATTATGAGACAGATCTCAAATCGATTATGTAGCAGTTTCTCACGATTTGCTCGGATGTGGAAGCCCGCTCAACAATTTGGACGTGCGCTCCGAAGCAGCGTTGACCAAGGGCATGGACCACAGACCGGTCAAGGCCGAGCTGTACTGGGATCCAGTGATGGCAGTTAGCGGTTAGCGAGGGGGATCTTCTCAGCCACGATCGTCGGCGATTGCCGAAACAGGTGAAGCACGACGAGGATGCGATGTTCAAGTTTGAGTCTGCACTGGTCGACCCCAGGATTCAAGACGTGGATTTGGATAGCTTTGAGACTCTTGTGTGCGATGTGGCGCGAGTGTGTTTTATTGCAGACCCAGGGCAGGACGGCCACATCCAGTCGCACCTGTCGCACATCAAATCCCTCCGGTCCCGTCTTCGGATTGAGACGGACCCGGATCGCCGGAAGATCTTGCTCAAGGAGTTTTGGGCCCATCGTAGGGCGAGTGGGAAGTTGAAGATAGCTCGTCGGCTTCAAGGTCTGTCCAAGCACAGTGCTAAAGGAATTTATCTGCCTACGGGTTTCGTGATTGACGGCGCATGGACTTACGACAGGGCAGAGTGGGTCCGAGGGGCCAAACAGTTCGGCATGGATCGCTTTTCTGACCCAGAGAATCCTCCAGCACGACAGCGAGAGCGACTTCACGGCCTCCGCAGCATAGCATTGAGTGAGCGATTGGATGGGAGACCGCCCGAAGAACTCGAATTGTGGGACGTATTGCAAGCGAGAGCGAGCTTGCGAAAGGGAGACGCTCCAGGAGTTGATGGAGTGACACCAGATGTATACCACGTGCTACCTTTCTTAACATTACTTCATGTCCGAGTCCTTTTTCAACGATATATGTCTTTGGATCCATCTTCGCCACGTTCGCCATTTTGAAAGGTGCTTCAATTTGTTGGCCTACCGAAGAATAAGCTTATGAGGAAGGCGCAGATCTACGTTGGATATGTAAGTCCGCTGTTTTGCAAAATATGTACATACGGGCTTTACGACCACGGCTCCATGGGCACCTCCGGCCAAGCAACGTTCACTCCTACTGCTTCCGGTCAGGGACTGCCACCACGAAGTTGACGGGACTCGTGCGAGAAATATTGCACGCAGCTGATGCCTGGAAACTGCCGGCGGTGGTTTCTTGCCAGGACGTCTTGGCAGTTTTCGATTCTATGCCGCATGAGCTCATATCTTTGTCGCTGCGAAAACGGGGGGGTTCTGCGCACACAGTCGGCCTCCACATGCAGGAATTCAGCGACTTGGAAGCCACGATAACACTCCCTATGGCCGGTGAGACCGACCTTTTTCCATTCAACCTGGGAGGGAACAAGGCGGGGTAGAGACTCCAGACGAATGGCGAGCGATATTTGAACATATACTTGAACCTCTCGCTCGGGCCTGGGCAAATCTGGGCCTCGGCTTTCGTTTCCAGGACGAGGAGGACGATGGCTCTGGCCCGTTGATGTCGCGCGCGATCTGGGCAGACAGTACCGTTCTCTTTGCCAGCAGTCTCGGGATGATGATCCACATGACTCGTCACTTGAATGATGCATTCTCTGCTCGCTGTGGCTCTTCTGGGAGACGGTACTTAAAGTGGAAACCGGAGTCGTTAGAATTCCTCTGCGCGGGTACTTTGAGAGACAAAGCGGCGAAGGACGTGAGCATAGTTCAGGAGGGGGTTATTCTTCCGTACGCGTAAAGACAAGAGTTGGTGTTGTTTGGAGAGCAGCTGGGGCCAGACGGCAGCACGAACGACAGCGTGGACTACAACCTTGGGCGGGCAGAGAAATGTTATTTCCGTCATCAGGCAGTCTTGCAGAGCTGGCGTGCGCCTGTCACCAAGCGCTTGCGTGCTTGGGTGAGCGGCCCGGCGGCGAGCGCGTTATATGGCGCAGAGACGTGGCAATTGTCACCTGGATTGCTGCGGAAGTTGAGGACGTGGGAGCTCAAGATGTTGCGCCGCATGTTCCGCATGCGCTGGCGTCCTGGAGAGTCGGCCATACAGTTCGACGTGCGCACGGCCGGCGTACTCTTCCAGTGGTTCGCGCGCGCGGGCTTTGACTTCATCTATGAGAGGGCCGTCCGGCTTGTGTATCGGGAGGCATGGGCTATGACAGAGTGGCGATTGGAGTCCAACGACTGCCCCGTGAAGACTGCGCGGGAGTACCGGTCGCTGCAGTGGTGGCGGGGCGTCCAGGCGCCGACAGCCCAGGCGAAACGGCGACGCTTGGGCTTAGCTCATTCGCGGTCCGGCCAACCAGCCAAGGCATGGGAGTATCCCTTCGCCGCTGTCTGGGGCGAGCTCGGTGGACAAGATTGGCAGATGGTCAGAAATGGCTGCAGTTCCCAGCAGGAATGGATGGGTAAATTCCACGGCTTCTTCGGGGCACTCCGGGAACTATGGGGGCTCCCAGTGGCCGAAGCCGGCGTTGCACCACGTCCACCTCCATGCACGGTGAAGCTCCCCATTGACCCTGCGAACCTTCTGAAGCCCAACCCGCGGGAACAGCGCTGGACATCTTTTGGCAAGACAGTGTGGGTTCAGACTGATAACCAACAACTTGCTGAAGTTTTGGGTGGTCATTCATATTTGCGGGATGTTCGGATGAGGCCGTTGTTTGTGAGAATATCCTGACTCCTGCTGCGGATGCACGACAGTGCAATGCTGCCGAGGACACAGATAAGTGCATACGTCGAGTGGGATTCGCGGGACTTCACTGGGTTGGCAGACGACGCGGCGAACCAGGCCCTGGATCGTGGCACTGACTGGGTATACACTCACGACGACAACGTTCGCAGAGCATGAGAGGCATGTGCCCAGATCAACTTTCGCCTCTGCTTCGACAGGGCCCGGCGGGGCGAAGGCGATTCAGCGGCAGGGGCGGCGCCCATCGCCTACTACCCCTCCGGCGAAAGAGAACTGTTATTCCGAGCAGGTAGGTTGTTGGGCCGGTTGCGATCTGCGTTCTTAGCCGAAGCTATGGCAGCAGAGTTCAGTATTGATTTGTTTTTCCTTCTCCTGAACAGTGGCGGGTAGAGTTGTGCGAACCGCATGCGGCTTACATCGAAACGAAACGAAAGACGTGTTATCAGGAACTAGTAGGTGCGCTGCCACATCGGGAATCGGCTGGGCGACGTTGTCTCCCGCTGCCTCCCGTTCTCCCGTGGCCTCCCGTTGCCTCCCGTGGCTCTCGTGGCCTCCCGTGGCCTCCCACTGCGTCTCTAGCCCGACCCCTTTTTTATGTTTATCCCGTTCATGTATACCCTCATGATAATAAGAGAAATGGAAACAACGAAACATGGACTAGGATACTTCGTTGTTTATTTCGTTCGTCGTTGTTCGCAGTCCTGGTTCGTTGTTCGTTTCGTTGTTCGTGTTGTTCGGCCACCCTGCTTGGTTCAAGTCCACGTCAGAGCCTCTCCCCTCGCCATTGCCCTGGCCCCTGGCCCTCGCTGCAACCCTTGGCCTCAGCCCAAGCCTGAGCCTCGCCGCGGCCCTGATGTGTGTTTCGTTTCGCTGTTCATGTTGTTTGGTCGTTTCGTTGGGTTTAAGCGTTCTCTGCAGCCCTAGGCCTCAGCCCAAACCTCAGCCATCCTGACCCCCTAGCTCCAAGTCTCAGACGCGGTCTCAACCGTGGCCTCAGGCCTTCGCCTTAGCTGCCCTAGCCCCAGCCATTGCTTCCATGTGGATTCGTTTCGTTGTTCGTTTTGTTTTATCGTTGAATGGCGGTCTCATTTAGTTGTTCGGTTTTTCATTGTCGTTTGGCAACGGTTTCGCTGTAAATGTTCGGCTCAAAAGTTGTGTGCCGTTTCGTTTTCGTTTTAGACAATTTCGCTTTCAGCATCGTTGTGGCCAGTCTTTCATGTCATATTTCCCCGTCCCTGTTCCTATATCCCTAGTCCACTACCCACACCTTTATCGTAACTCTGTAGTTCAAGCTGTCCTGGGTTTTCTGCCGCAGGGGGGTGTCATGATGTTTTTGCTTTCTGTTAGAGCCCCCATGGAGGGTCGGGCGGCGCTTCGAAATCCTTGACAGAACGTGCCCTGCGACAGGTCCAGGTGGCCGATCTGCGGCTCAGGGCCCAGACCTCGAAGCGTCGCGACAAGGTCACGACGGGCGCTGTCTCGCGATCTCGGCGCCTGGCGGCCCCTTTTCCAGAGTCACCCGCGGGGGCGCGAAGATGAAGTCAACCCGCATAGTAAGGACGATCGACGTCCCAAGGGTACCCGATGCATCCTTGCCTCTTCGGTCATCTTCGGTCTATCCTCAACCACTCTCGATGGCCAGCCTCGCTCGAAGAGCCTCGGCATGGACGTCCTAGGCCCTTGCATCCTCACCGTGCATCCTCACTATATGGGTTGACTGCACGACCACGACGACGACGACGACGACGACGACGACCGCCACCACCACCACGACGATGACGACGACGACGTCGACGACCACGACCGCGACGACGACGGCGATTACCACGACCACGACGACGATGAGGACGACGACGCCGCCGCCGCCGACGACGACGACCTTACTGTTTGGGTTGACTGTAACCGCGCTTCGCGCGTGACGGTCCGGGCCAGAGCGGCTGCCCCTCTCCGAGGGGGCGGCGCGAGGTCGGCTGGGCGCAGAGAGGACCGCGCGGCGCGCTTCGCTGGGGCGCCGCACGCGGTGGGCGAAGTTGGGTGGCCCAGGTTCTCGGGCCCCCGTCTTGCCCGGGAGGAGGAGGAGGAGTTACGAGGAAGGAGGCGGCATGGCTGGATCCATCTATTTCACTGGAGGTCGTTTCTCAAAGTCATGCGCAGTGGCTCTTAGGCGCTTGCGCTCCCATGACGAAGGTTGCCACTCCACTATCGTGGATGGCGAGCGCCAGGTGGCAGTCGTCGTCCTCGCGCATGATCTCGCCGATGGTCGTGGCCATCCGCTCGTCCCCCGCGCCCTCTCCTGCATCCTGCTTGCGTGCGAAGTCACCCGCCCGACCGTGCCGCGGGCAGATGGGAGCCCGTGTGTGGGGGGGGGGCACCCTCCGGGGCTGGTCGCCCGGTGGCTGGCACCCTGGGTAGCGCCCCAGTGACATCCTGGTGGCCCGGTGGCTGCCACCCGCGGTCCAGGCCAATGTTTTGCGATCGGCGGTCGATCCACATGTGCCCCTGCTGCTGCCCTGCACTGAGTGGGGAAAAAATCGGAGGTTCATAGACCTCCTACCCTGACACGTCGATTAGCGAATTGGCCGTTTTTGGTTCGCGAGAGGGCGTCGCGGCCGTCATATTTGCGGGTCCAGGTCCGTCGGTTTCGGTCCTGGACCGTTGTCACTAAAGGGTGGTTTACTAAAGGGAGGTTTATCCACCGCCGAGTGCTGGTCTTTCAGGGGGGCGCTGCTTGAAGTGGGGAAAAACAGGCTTGCAGGGATTTATGGGGAGGGGACTTCGGACGGGAGGATGGATTGCAGCATCGCTGATGCATCTCGGATTTGCTCTGGTCTTCTTCCTCCTCCTCCTCCTTATCCTCCTCTTTATCCTGCTTCCCCCTCGTCCTAGTGTCAGTCCTGTGCGATCGCCGCTGCTGCCCCTTGCAGGCCTTGGTGGCCATCTTCTGGCGCTCCCACCACTTGTCGCACGAGCACTCGGTCCTGTGCAGCAGTGATTGCATGCGGTGAGCCCCACTGCTTCTGTGATTCATCACGCGCTTTGCACTGAATGAATGCCTGGTGCGCACGGTGAGCCAGGGCCCAGAGTCAGTGTTTGGCCAGTCAGGTGGCTAAGCAACTGCTGGCGATTCCGTGGGGGCGGAGGCAAAGAAGAGACATGCACGAGTTATCCGTCTTAGCGAACACGGCAGGGTGAGGGGCCGTTTGGAATCAGCAGCCGCACCTTATTGCAAATGCCAGCAGACACGAAACAGAAGAACCGCGGTTGGTGTGACATTGTATACCACACGGCCTTCTTTCGACAAGTGTGCGCAATCAGTCTGATCGTTTGCTCACGCTTCTCGACTCTCCTGCTGGAGGAGCTGTCAGCGCTTCTGGTGGATGGCCTGCTTTTTACAGGGTCCGGCTTGAATAAGGAACACTTGCTTTTCAAAAGGGACCAGGTCGTTCCTTTGGTATGCATGCGTGCCGCTACCTTTTTTGGCGGCGAGCCCCCCTGTTGTCCCTTCGAACTCCGTGGATTCACTTGGGAAAAAAGGGGCTTCGTTCCTGAGGTCAGGGGAGTCGCTGATCCAGCTGGATTCGTGGGTTTGAAAGAGGGGCTTCGTGCTTCGTGGATTCACTTTGGAAAAAAAGCGTCTTCGTTGCGTATTCCTCGTTCCTGAGGTCAGGGGAGTCGCTGATCCGGCTGCCTGCGGCCACTCCGCCGCCGTGCCCGCGGAGCACTCCGCGTGGCGACCGCCCAGAAGGCCGCCACGCTCGACCTCTCCCGGGCGATCGCAGACCTGGCTCAGAGGGGGCGTGGATCGGCGACGGGTCCCGCCGGCCACGGGACATCGCGGACTTCCGCACCCGAACGGAGCGGCACCGGCCGCACTTTTGGGGAGGGCACCTCCCCCGATCCACGGATTTGGCGACCGCCCGCCAAATCCGTGGAACGCTAATCCATGCTTGCGCGCCCCCGACTCTCTCGTCTCGACCTCTTGAGGAGCTCTCCTGGGGCTTCTTTGGGCCGTCTGCGGGCCCTTTTGTCCGCCTTCGGGCTTTCTTATCGTCTGGGGTGTCTCTGGGAGCAGTCGTGGGGCTGTTTTGGGCGTTGTCTGGGGCCCTCTCAGGCCGTCGTGGGTCCTTCTGGAGGCCCTCCTGTGCCAGCTTTGGGCTCTCTTGGGGCCTCTTGGGGTCATCTTGGTCGTCGGGGTGGGTTTCTATTGGGGCCTCGGGGCTCTCAGTGGGCACTTTTGGACTCTCGAAGACAGCAATCGGACCGATATTCGACCGAGGAACATAGAAAACGAAAAGCACTGAACAACATTGGGACAATTCGAATTTGGGGCATCCCGAGGCCCTTCTGGAGAGCGTATTGGGAGTGTCTTGGGGCTCCCTGGAGGCTTATTGGGATATAGTCCCGGGTCGAGGGTTCACAGCGCCCCCCCAGATGAGATGGGCCCCAGGGTTCCACAGCCCCTCCCCCCGATGGGACGGGGGGGAGCGGGACGAAAACGACGACGACGACGCCAACGCCGACGCCGACGCGGACGCCGACGCCGACGCGGACGCCGACGCCGACGGAAGACAGAAGACGGAAGACTGAAGACGGGAGACGACGACGACGACGACGACGACGACGACGACGACGACGACGACGACGACGACGACGAACCAGCCCACACCCACAGGGGGGTGGGGGAGCACCGGCACCCTCCACCACGCCACGCCCTCAGGGCCACGACCACAGGGGGGAGGAAGCGATCCCATTCGTGAGGCCTTCGCGAGGCTCACTGGCGTGCCCATCCAGCTGGGGGGTGCTTGATCTCATATATCCAGACGCTTCTTAAGAGCTCTTGGGCGCGTCTTGAGGCAATTTGGGGCCATCTTGGAGGACTTGGTGGCCGCCGTCCTTGGCGTTGGAGTGCGTTGGAGACCGCCAGGGAAGCGTTAGGGCGCCCAGGAAAACTCGGGAGGGGGCCAGTGCACGCGGCTAACTCTGACGAGGGGAGGGAAGCTTCAGAAGGCTAGACGAACAGAGAACCTACCAGACAACACATGGCGTTCTACCACCTCAACGCGCACATGTTCACGGTGACGCATATGTGAAAATGTATATGTATGTATGTATATATGTGTATATATATATATATATGTGTGTGTGTATGTTCAGCCCCCCCCTCCCAGCACCCGTTCATGTTGCATCGGCCTTTGAGTTTTCCATTCGTGCTCTTACTGATCATCTGACTTCTTCTCTTCCGCGCCTGCTCATACATCTTTTCTATTCGTCATGTCTCCACTGTTTTCTCGTGATGGGATCTGATTGGAATCAGGTGGATTTGGGATCTGCTCAGCTCCAGTTAGATTCTAATTCGATTTCAATGGGAATCCAAGTGGACACAGATGGGTCTGAATCCGGTCAATTCCAATGTGACCCGGATTTGATTCCAGTAAGAACCCACTTGGAATCAGCTGGGAATGGGGCCTGCTCAGTTCCAACTAAAGTTTCTGTATACCCCACTAGGTGATCCAATTCGAGCCAAGTTCTAATCCGATCCCAAGCTGAAACAGCTGTATGTGGGATCTGCTCCAGTCCACTAAGATTCTAACCCGATGTCAATAGGAATCACATAGGAATTAGCTGGGCCTCGGATCTGCTCAAATCCAAGTCTATTCTAGCTCGAGAACCATATGAATATATTTGAAATCAGCTGGACTTGTGTTTTGCGCACTTCTAGCCAGATTCTGTTGTGATTCCAAGCATAATCCCAATTGGACTCAGCTGGATCTGCTATACCCCCATAGAAATCAAATTTGAATCAACTGGAGATCTGGTCCATTTCAATGTGATTCTAAATAACTCCCCGTCGGAATCACATTTGTTTCTCCTGGGTCTGGGACCTGCTCCATCCCAAGTGAATCCTAATCAGATCCCATGTGGAATATATTTGGAATTAGCTGTATCTGGGATCTGCTCAATCAAAATTCGGTTATATCTCGAGTCCGGTAGGAGCCCCAATCTATGGGATTTGTTCATTTCCATGTGGGTTTCCGTATATCCCATCCGGAGTCCAACCGGATTCAGTTGTGATTGTGATGTGTCATATTCGAATTAGAGTTCCAGTCGATCTCGATCGGAGTCTAATTGGAGTCAGCTGAATCGGGGTTCCGCTCCACCCCAGTGAGATTTCAATTTCGTTCCAATCGGAAGCAACATATACTGAGCTGGATCTGGTCTTGCTCGTATCCTGGCGGTGCGTAAGGGCGTGGGGTTCGACAAGGCAGGGCGGCGGCGCCTCTCGCCCCAGCAGAGCGCACCCTGCGCTGCCTGCGGAGCCTTGCGGTGGGGTCGAGGGCCCTCGCTTATTACGATCCGCGAGGTGACCAATGGCACGAGCGGGTCATGCTGGCCCAGATAGATCAGTATGATTTCATTATGATCACCTCCCACTGGGCCATGTAGGACGAGGATATGTCCCAGGCGATGCGCCTCCTGCCGATCGGGCCGCGCGGTGGCCTCCCGATTCAGTTCCGCGTGGCCGCTTCTGCGCGTGGACATCGATCGCCTGGGCGCCGAACTTCGCCAGCTTTGCGAGGAGGCGGCGCAGCTGGCGGCGGGGCGCGCCGCCCATGGGCGACGCTGCGCGCTCTGCGGCGGACGCGCTGGCGCCGGCCGCCGAGCTGCAGGCGTCGCCCCCCGCGGCGGCATCGCCGGCGGCGACCTGGCGGCGGCCGGGGTCCTGCGCGCCCCTGGGGCGGCGCGGCCGGCGGCCCCACCCGCCGGCGCCACTTGGCTGGCGGCCGAGGCTCGCGGGGGGTTCGCTCCAGGGGCTCTGATGCCTCCCGAGCTCCTCTCGGCAGCCGGCCAGCCGCAGGTCGCGCTGGGGGGTAGGGGCCTCGTCTTGCTGGGTTCGGGCCTCCCGCTCGCGGCGGCGGCGGCCGTCGCCCTCGATGCTGCCGCGGGCCAGATGGACAAGGTCATTCCACGACGCGGCGGCCGAGATGTCGACGACGCCGTTCGGGGACTTGAGGATCAGGGGCCCCCGCGCTGCCGCGCGGCTCTTCGCCGGGATCTCGGAGGCTGGCTAAGCCCCCCTTGCAGAGCCATGTCTGGTGGAGGTCGGCGCAGGGCCCCGCGGCTTCGGACCCTGGCGCGAGCGACCGCCACTTCCTCTCGGAGCTCGTGCAGGAGCTCACCACGCACGACCAGCTCAATGCCATGGCGAGCTCGCCCCGGCCGAGATCATCTGCAGGAGGTCCCAGTTGTGGGGGGGCCGTGCGCTTCAAGTCTCAGCGAGAGGGCCACGTTCCTTGCACATGGCAGGAGCCGCGGGTCTGCGCTGGTCTGCCCAGCGCTTGAGAGCTAGGTCGAGAGAAGCTCGAAGAGGAGAGCGCCGTTTAAGGGGCGCAGGAAAAGGCGCGAGAAGAGGCTGCTGGAGCGGGGCGGCGGCGACGCCGGCGCGCCCTCTGGCGAGGCGGCCGCGTCCGCCAAGGCCAAGGGCCGAGGCGGCCGACGCGGCCGCGGGTGAACGACCCGCTCGCGCTGAGAAGCCCCCGGGCCTCGGCGCGTTCTTCGAGGGGGGGCGAGGCGCGCCTGGAGGAGACGCCGCCCCGCTGGCTTCTGATGCGGAGGCTGGTGCCCATAGAGACGTCTTGCCCATCCCGCTTGGCTCGGAGACGCTCCAGCTGCCGAAGGGGCGCGCGGCCCTCGACGGCGAGCTTTCGCTGGGGCAGCGGCGCAAGGCCGCGCGCATCAGGCGCCCGGGGCGCTGGGCGCTGGTGGGCGCCGCGGCGCTCCGCGAGCTGGGCGGCGGCGGGCAGGCGGGCGGCAGCGGCGGGCCCATCTGCAAGGCGCGGCGCTCCGCGCTGAGGCACTTGGCGGAGGCCTGCGCCGCGGCGCCGCCCCGCCTTGAGGCTCGCGCAGACCAGGAGGCGTTCCGGTCGCTTCTGGGATTTCGACCTGGCCACTCCGACGAGCCAGCCATAGGGGCGAAGGCCAGCTACCCGCGCGGGAAGGTCTCTCT